TACAAATTTATATGGCATTACTACATGAGAGATGTTGCCTACAAATTATGATTAGAAAAAACTGCAGGACTCCAAGACCTGTTTCTCGTGCACTGGAAAGGGCTGCTTCATAATCTCTATATCACCCTCCACTAATACATTACACCCCGTAGTGGCAAGGCAGTTCATTGACGCTATTCCTGCTCCCTGTGTTTTAATCATTTGCTCCTGGTTGTCACTTGCAGGGGCTCAGACCCCCCTCAACTTCAGACACTGAGCAGAGGCACCTGATTAGGAACAATGTCACCTCACACTCAGCAGGCAGATTGAAGAGGTGCCAAGTGTGAGCCAGCAGCAGTCGGTGAACTCTTCCTTACTGGAGATGCCTCTCACTCTCTGTCAGAGGCAGGAGCAGCCCGTGGTGACTACACTTCTGACTTAGGCACTCCCTGAAGCAGGATGTGGCTCTCTAGTGCGGAGCTATCTATTTTGTTTATGCTGAATCATCTCCTTCTGTCCCTTCTTAGACCAAACAATCTGTACACCTGTGAGCTGCAACTCTTGTTGCCTTATCCCTGCTGATATAGCCTCCTGTACCCTGGGGGGAATTTATAGATGTATCAATACAATTTCTCAGATAAACAACTGATAAATAAAGTGAATGTTGGGAATTTAATAGGGGGGCTGATCTCTCTTTGCTGCTGAAAAAAAAGGAAATCCCTCCCGTGTATTCTACTAAAATAGGTTGAAAATAAATTATATGCTGGTCTTATGATGACAATCATGCAGATTTATATTATAACTATAAATTATTATTACAGCTATTCAAAGTAATTTTGTCGTTTGACTTTCAGGGGCTTATTACACAAAGGAACAAGGGCTGTGACCTGATCTCTCACATGAAAGATAAAGACACATAAACTGTCTAAACAGCCACCTCACCATACATGGACAAGAAAATAATTTTTATGCAAATAGAATCTGAGACCAAAATGCCTTTTTCCTTCACCTCCTTTCTATTTCATTGTTATATAAATCATAAAGATGCCACTGGAGACCACATAGGAAGAGGTCTCAATGGTAGAAGTGAGAGCTTTCCGCATTTGTCTATTTTTAATTTCAAAAGGTATTTTGAATTAAAAAAAGAAAGAGGGGGAAGAAAGAGCATGATGCTATTCGCATGCCTGATTTCCCAGGAGTACAAACAAGCTCTATGTTCTCTTGTAATATTACAACAAATTTTCAAAACCAAACACAAATAAATGAAAATTAAACTATGATCCATAAATTTAATTGAGATTCACAGTGTTTGATGCTTCTCAAATTCAAATTACTGCCAGACAGTGCATCTTTTTGCATAACTTATGCAACTAAAGTGTAGGTGATAGTTTCTCCACTCTCCCCTTTTTGTTTTTTTATGGAGAGATACATTTTTCAGTCATAGTGCTGGAAATTCTGCACATAAAAGCTGAATAATAATCAATTTTCATAGATAAACCATATCATGTTCAGTGCTTAGAACACAGTGCAGAAAGTAAGCAGGGAACACCAAGCATTTTTGTTTTGAAGAATAGATAATAATTGAATCTGTCTGTCATTAGAGCAAATACTCACAGGTAACTACTCTTGTTTCTGTCAGAGGTCTTTGGTCTTCAGTAAATAAGATTAAATGCCTCAAAGGTAACACAGAATTCTCTGCACATCATTCATATCACTTTGGAAATTGAATGCATTCATATGCCTTACCTAAGAGGGGTGTGAATTTGGACGGACAGCATCTACCAGAAAAAGGGGCTACTCCGGAAGAAATGTTATGGAATAATTAAGGTTTAAATTACATTTAAATGTAATTCAAATTTGCCTTTGGGACAACTTCACTTGGTAGTGAAATTCTTAGTCCTTGATCTTGCAGTTATTTCAGCTCTTTGTGTAATGTAACCTAAGGAAAAAAAAAGCCTTTGTCTAAATGGGTTGGGATCCTTGCAAATACATGGGCCTCCATTTCAGGGCTGTGATTGGTACTCCATGCAGAGAGAGCTTTGAAAGCCTTTGCTGAAAAAGGGACCTGAAGAGAATGTGGGGTGTGCTGTGTGAGATGGGGTTTGAGGGGACACTCTCCACTCTCTCCATGGGAATGTCTGGAGACCAGGGCTTGAGCCACCCCCTGACATAGCATCGGTGATTTACTTGCAGTGGGAATCCTGGCAGCAGGATTATTCACTGGATTTGTTTTTCCTGACCTTTACCTCTCTGATGACAACCATTAATCTTTAGCTCTTCCTCCCCTATTGGACCGAACAAGGTTGGTGCTCTTCACATCTGTCAACCAACAGTTTCTCCATCCTGCTGGTCACCTGAACAGCAACTGAAATATAAGCCCATATATCCGAGGGTGTAAACGTCTCTTTTCTTATTTTGAATCAGGGAGATGCAGTGTTTAACCATGCAGGAGTAAGCTGAAGGGTGGCATTTTAAAGGAGCGAGGAAGAAATGTTTTAGGCAGTTTGTATTGTGAACTAGCATGATGTTTTTTGGATGGTAAGAAAGGGAAAAATCCTTTAAAGCCATGTAAGAACATCATCAGATACACTATTTGAACTGTTAGTTAATGGTAAAATGAAATATTTCCTACCCATGAAAGTACAAATGTATTGAATCAGATTCCAAAGATGATGTAGTATGATAAGAAATGCCAAAAGTGTTATGCAGAATGCTAACTCCTGTGAGAAAATAAGAAGAGTGCTTCACCAGTGTTGTCATGACACAAACTAGTCATTATCACTACGTTCAGTGAAAAAGCTCTGTTTCCACAGCACTTTTCCATTATATACCCAATTGGAGGAAAGGAGTAAAAACAGTGGAGAACATCATCTGGGGGGTTAAGAAAAATAAAAGAATACAGCATTTCAAGTGGGTTGTGTAAAATCACATGCAGGAAAAATATGAAGTTCACATACTTAAAAATTATCATTGCTACAAAACAGCAGCCATTTTCTTCATGACATAGACACTTCTCAGCTCAGATCCATAAATCTGACCACAGCATCATTTCATGGCATCACCATCACAAAAACCATCACTCTGGTTTTTCTATTCTAGACCACACTTTGCACCTTTCTGCTTCCTGAGCTTTCCTATCCCTCCTTCTGTCTCCAGCCCAGGGGTAAACCCATTCTCAGCTCTTTCCCCTGTGTCCTTCCTCCTCACATCACCAGAACCATGCACTACTCTTCTCAACATCCTCCTCCTCCCAAAATGTCAGGATCACGTGTGGTCTGGGAAGATATCAAAACGCAGCACCCCCAAACTCACATGCCAATGGGAACTGATATCTTTCCCGTGTGCCTGTTTTCACTCTTGGTATACAACAATGAAGAGAACCAGGTACCAGACTACTGCTGTTTTCCAGACAGTTGCCCACACCAAATGCAAGTGTTGTTCCTTTGCTTGATGTAAGTTAGGACCGAGGGAAGCAGATCACAGTCAAGCAAACTTCCAGGAAATTATTCTAGTACAGATTTCACCTGCCCATGGTGAGGATTGGCTGCCTGGTCATCAGTGGAACTGATAGGAAGGAACAGCAGCAGTAAATTTCACTGCAGATTTACCTGCTTTTGCTAGTTCATTTGGAATATACTTAAGAAGATAAGGTCATAGCAGATTTGAGAATTTTAAAGTGGTTTCTTTTCCGTACAAATTCCACTCAAATATTCTCAAATCAAACCCTGACTTGAAAAATAGCTACTGAAATTTGGTGGCCAAATGGTGCTTTTGTTAAGAAAGTGAGTGAAGTCAGTGAGAATCCTTCAGCCTCTAAATTCAAGTGTCACTGACTGAAACCTCTAGCTAGAAGATGTCCAGCGATAGCAAGCAAATTAGAGGTATCCAGCCTCTTTTATCAGATCTCTGTGAACTCCTTCTCCTAACTTTTTGCCTTGCACATGATTGTTTAATATGGCAGGCCTGCTTATGTATGCAACTCCAACTTTAAAGGAAACAGCATGAAATACTACTCACTTGTGCTTTCTCACACACATACATAATCTCTTGTTGCACACATATAGGTAGCTGCTTTGTTAAAATGTGCAGCATGAGCCTGTAAATGGGGATGGTTTGATTTAGAGAGTGCTGCTCATGGGCTGGTAACCAGGCACTGGAGCAGGAGCTGGTGTACTGTGCAAATCCGCAAATTCTTGCACAGCTCCCTTAGCTCCATTGCCTGTATCTTTGGCCCATGTGGAATTTGTATACAGGTGCAGAAGGAGGAATATTCAAATTCAGGTCATAGCAACTCTAACATTGTCATTTTAAGGGAAACCTCCTGCTGTACTCCACACATCAGTCTCTGTTATCCCATCTTGCTTCTGGCAGTCTAACATTGAACTGGGATGTATTATCTTCATGATCTCCCTTATTCAGGTCTCAAAAATCCTTGGAGACACACGTCTGAACCCAGGAAATCACACTGCTTATTGAGAGGCAGTCAAACACACAGGGAGGTTCTGAGTGTCTGCATAGCTTCGTGTTCACATGGGGAAGCCGTGCACTTCAGGTGCAGCCACGGAGCTGCGGAAGGCAAAGCCAGGCCATAGCTGCTCAACCAGCCGCTGTGCACGGGCTTTCAACAGGTGACGAGAGTAATCTCATGCACAGGATTTCTTGGTTACCAACACATGCAAATATCTGATGCACAGAGGCTTTGTCAGCCTCTCCAACAGCTCCTGAGTCACTGTGTGTGAGCAGCTTGGATAACAGCTCTCACGAGCGAGGTGCACCGGCAGTTAAGCACAAGCAACCATCACCATGCTGCTCTGAAGCTCAGGAGTCAGCCTGTCGCATATTGAAACCATCTACAAATCCAGCAGACTTGCCGGAATGACAGTTTATACTGTTCACGTGTTTTTTAAATTATTCTCATTCTTTAGCATGCGGAGGAAAATGAAGCCACATTTTCCTTAACAATTGCTGTTCCCACCTTGCTGCGTGTCACAGCCCTCTGGGGTGACATTGGAAGCACTGACCTTGGATGTTGCTGCAGTGGTATTACTTTCCTTACTACTCCCTGGTGCACTCTCCTCTTCTGTTGCTGCTGTTGGGGCTTCTGACTTCTTTGCACTTGTTTCCAGAGAAACAGGACTCCCTACTTTCCCCAGCCCACTCACTGGGGTTGAGCTTGGACTGCTTGGTTGCCGTGACTGAGACTTATACCAGCTAGGGTAAAACAAGGGATCCGTGGTTTCTGCTGTGGCTGGCATTTGAGTGTCAGATTCTGGGGTCTGCTGAGAACCACCTGGTGTCACAACCACATCCTTAATCAGGACAGATAAAGAGAAGAACAAGCAGAGTGCACCACGTTACCTTTCCAGCTGCAGTCAAATTGTTCTGTGTGTTGTGTTTGTTACGTACCACTGCAAGGCATAGATTTGTCCTAATATATGGTCTGAAAGAATTGCAACCGAAATGCAAAGCAAAAGCAACTATCACTTGAATAACATAGATAAGGGAAAAAATAAATTAGGAAAATAGAACAGGAGGGTAGAACTAGCTGGGAGGGGAGTGCTGACTGAGAATAGAGTGAAAAAGAGGTTCTTTAATTAAGATAAATGCCCAATTCAACTCTAAAAACACAGGAAATTCTGCATAAGAACCTCATAAACCCATACCAGCCATTCATGGCTGGTGTAGGTACTTTCAAATGGCTTGTTGGGTTTTGTGTCAAGAACAACACCTTTACCAATGAGTGTGATAGGAGCAGTCAGAACAAGGTGAATACAAAGACACTGGAGAGAAACATTTGCCCACCAGCCTTGCCATCAATGCTATAAGCCGAGCACAGTTGCTCCGCCAGGAAGAGGAACAGCCATCTGAACTGCACCTCTCTACATGCATCAAGTTCTTGGGGTTCCCACACGTGCTACCTGCTGTCCCCACAGCATTTCTGCTTTTCTTACACCAGAAGGCAAAAGCTGAAATACAGATATCTCTCACACTATAACACCTACATGCCATGTCTGATTCCACACCTGACCATCTCCTAATGGCACTTTACAATTGCTAGAGCAGCATGCTGTACCTTTCTCATTTTAGCCTTTAGCATTTAGAAGTGAGAGAATTCATGTTACTGGGCAGAATTTCTTATGTCTTGTTCTTGTTTGCCTAAAACCCTACATCAGTTTAGGAACATAAGTTTAGTTAAGTCAGTGCAAATCCTGAAAAGATAAATTTTGGTTAAATCAATAAAACCTCATTTAAGAGCATCTTCACACAACTGGTGAAAACACACACATGTTTTTAGATCAAAGCAAGAATGAATCTATAATATTTGTTTTCCCATATTTTATGTGGGAGGTTTGCTACAATCAAAGATCCTTTATGTGTTTTCTTGATTTCATATTGGCCTCCTCAAATATCTTCACAGTAGCCTTTATCACTCAGCAACTTCACTGGGTGAATTGCATAAGAGGAGAATTTGCCAATTAATTGTACGCAAGGCAAGCTAAAGTAGCACATTAAGTATATTTAAAATGTAGGTATTTTAGAATATGTGGCAATTATGCTCTTATTCTAATCACATTCCCTAAGAAAAAGTGCTGGCCTAAAATATTCACACCCTGAGCCTGTTTGCTGCTAGATTGTAAAAGGCAGTTACCTCTCCTCTTTGGTGTATGATATTCCTGCATCCACCTAGACATATACCTAAGATGTCCAGAGCAGAAGACAGCAAACATCGTTCACAGAAAACAGATTAGAGATTTAGATTTCCACCATCTAAAAATTGATGGTGGAAAGCTCACTAAATCCAGGGGGAATGCCAACTTCTCTTAGTATAAATATTTTAACAACTGTCCCATTTACAACAGTTAGTCTGAGTTAAACCACAGCAGAATGTCCATTGTAACACACTTAACTCCCAAATGGAATCACTTTTATTTATAACTTATGTATCCCATATATATCTTAATTTATCTAGCAGCTAATTTTTTGCCTATCAAGTGATATATATATATATGCAGGTCGAGAGGACAGGGTAAAGCTGCATATATGTGTAAAAGGGCAATAAACAATTTTGCTCTCCAGTGCATTGATTCCCTTAGCCTGCTCCTGACCTATAGTGCCTAGAGGCCACAGGGGAGCATTTTCTTGCTCTGCCATGCACACTCAGCATTGCTGGCAGGGAAGCAAAGCCACTCACCTGACCAGCTGGGGCAGCAGGTAGTGACACTGGAGTGGGTTCAGACAGGGGCTCTCCTGTTGCACTCTGCAGTTTAGGGTCTTGCTGAGGTGGCTGTGATGCTCTCTCAGCCTCTTCCTCCTCTACCTCTTCCTCCTCTCCCTCCTCTCCAGATGACTCTGTGTGGACTTCATCCAAACCTTCACCATCCTCTGTGCCCTCCTCTTCTTCTCTCTCCTCCTCTGATAGGACGTGTAAAAAGACAGGGTTGAGCACCATGTGAAGATGGCTACAGTTTCTTTGTAATTAAAAAGCCACTTGCAATTGCATTGCAAAACCACTGATAATCTGCTGCCTGGTAGAGAAGGTATTGGTGAGGAGCCTGCTTCCAGCAGCCTGGACTGGGCACTGCCATAAGGCTGCCAGCAGGTGCTTTGTGGAAGGGAAGAAACTGAACACACCTGTTGGTTAAAACCTAAAGCTGACCCTTTCCATGTGAAGGAGTACAGAAACTCCTGCCAATGCAGTTATCCTCATGAGGGATGTGCAGCATGGCCCTACACTTTCTGGGGAGAGGATACGCAGGATGTGGCACAATCTGCCAGGAAAAAAGCCCCTCTTCCAATTCTAGGTATATGTTTGTTTTAAACACCATTGAACCTGTCATCATAAACATTTACCAGGCCAGTGCTTTGCAACACATGACTGGAGGTTTGGGATACCAACATCCCTAAAGCCAGGGGATGTCAAACTTGGTCATACCATTGCCTTTGTGCCAAAATAACATTAATGGTGCCAACAGGTTATGTTTTGGGGTTTTTTTAACCGTGATGGATTTTTGCTCCTGATTACAATTGATACAAAATGCTCTGGTTACATTTCAGGATGGAGAGAAATATCCAATTCAAGGTTTCCTACTCTGTATCATTGTGTAATCACACACAGCTGCAATTTAAGAAAGCAATTTCGGTGAAATAAATGACATACCTCTGTCAAAATCAATTTCTCGTATTATCTTTTCTTCTCTACTGAGGTTCACTGTGAATTGGTTCATAATTTCATACCCATCCTCTATTTTTTCCATTTGAAATCCTTTAGAAGCTTCAGTAATTCTAAAACAGAGAAATTGGTTATTGCCATTTGGATTTGCAGATAAATTTATAATTTGTAATTGATTATAAAGAATAAGAGTCTAAAGTTTAAATACTTACTTTTGCAGCAATGTTTTGGCATTCTGTGAAAAAAAAAAAGGAAATAACTGACTTCTTAAATGGTTCCATTTTTTCAGAGACTTTATGCATTGAGATCTAATTCTTACACTGGCTGCTTCTAAATGCACTAATACAGATCTCATTAATGACAGCCATGACGTCTATGAATGAGATCAAATTTGGATGGTAGTTAGTATACAGCTGAGTAAACCTTTTAGTTAGTTGAAGACTTTTTACTTAAAATCTGAATATCATGGAAATACGTACAATTGTTAAAAAGAAACAAAATGGAAATACTTTTCCTCTTTTTTGGTGTGCTTGTGGTGAAAAGCAATTGTTCCATTACCGTCTTTAGTCATAGTAACTATATCTTTGACTATCCATAAGGACACACTTCTGGAGAGACAAAATTCTGTTTGTCTTGAAAGATTATTGTACTCTTCAAAGGCAATTCTTTGACAAAAAGAAGCGGAGCTTGGGCTGGTTTGTTTTGGGGTTTGGTTTTTTTTGTTTGTTTGGAGTTTTTGTTTTGTTTTGTAGAAGACACCCTTCCAGCTTCTAATATAGAGGAATTCTAAACTTGCAAGACAGAAATTCTACACCAATGAATTTAGTGGACAGGTTGCTAGCGGTTTCCTACTCATCTCTCCTAAGTTTATAGTAAGAAAACAGAAGAAAAAAGTTAAACGAAGGTATAAAAATGTAACTTAAACCATAAATATTTAGTTCTTGAAACATTAATCACTTTGTCAATATGCAAATGAAACCTATAATTCACAGAAATTCATGTGCAAATGAACATATTGTCCCACCATGGGACAATAAAGATTTGTTGGAAAATGTTTAAATTCCTGTTTCTTCTTTGGGATCAGAAATTCATTCATGCGACAGTATATTTTGGTGCAAATAGCAAATACTCATGTTCTAGATTTGGATACTTTTCACAAGAAGACTAGACGTTTGTCTGAGCTGATTCAAATGTTTACAAAATGAGTTTGTATAAATGTTCACTTAAAGAAAACCAAACTCTGGATGGGCCTAAAATTGAGAAATGCTTAAATAGTGTATCAATAAACCTATCATTCTTGTTGTATCTCTATTTATAGACTTTATACCTGCAAAAACACGGCCATTTCTGGTTCTTCCATGAACTGGATTCCTGATTCAACCAGTTTTGACACAGCTTCCAAATGATCCGCATACTTCTTCATCAGGGAGCGGACGTGTTCCAGTTTCTCCTCTTGGGTTCTAGTGATTATTTGTGTCATCTCATTTTTCCTTTCTTCCAATACAGAGTAGAGATAATCAAATTTTTCACACAACTGTTCTTTTTGTCGTCTGCAGCATTCCTGTGAATCATTTGGTTTATGTTAAACATGTTATGTTCTTAAAAGAGTTTCTATTTTTATAGTTACTTGGAAGCATTTTCATCAAAGAAATTCCTCTTTCTGAACAGTGCAAAGGATTCTGAATGACCCCAGAGACTTTTATAATTTTCAAAGTCCAAGCTATTGGAACAAAAGTTCAAAAACTGTTCTCAAACTCTGAATTTCAAGCCACTGAAAGCCCCCAAACAGGTTATTGTATAACTTGTCAGTCTGCTAAAAAGTGTAAAAGGTATTTGTGATGTCTGCAGTGATACATCAAAGTCTGCAGAAAAAGTAAAAGCCCCCACCGTATTAGAAGTGGGTTCCTTTGCGTGAACAGAATGGTTTTAAAAGGAGTGGTCAGCTCAAATCAGCTCTGGAGAATTTTATTTTTCTTCCGAGTGCCTGGAACAATCGTGGGTGGGCTTGATTCTCACATATGCTCTCTAAGACTCTATTTGGACAATAGGAGCCCGTTATATTCCATTTACTGTGCACTGAAAGAAGTAGAAGTTCTGTGAAGAAAATGGTGTGTGACAGAAACACAAAGAAAAGAAAGAGGAATCAGGTTCCAACCCTAAGTTCAGGCACCGATTTTCACATCTTTTTTTTGAGACATTTTTATTGTCCTTCCAACCAGACAACAGCATATTTCACCAGTAAGGAGGATGGGTTTGATGACTGCTGCATTGAGCACTCTCTAAAGAGCACAAACTGCACTTGTAAGGGAGGATTTATAGGGAGGAAATGGGAGGCAGGTTATGTATAACGTCTGAAGTCTACCAAACCCAAGTACTTGAGAAACCTCTGTGCCCCAGGGCATACCCTTATTGTGGTTATACCTGGTTGTGAATGGTGGTGATTATTCAAATCTCTTTTCTAGGAACTGAGGCTGAATCAATTCCTCATCTTTGTCCCTTGGGGCATAATGCTGAGATCCTGGCAGCACAGGATTATTAACACTCACAGTACTTTTGGAAGTGATAATACTGATTATTCATAGCACTTAGCCAGATAGAATCCCATTTTGTTCTTACCTTTCAGTCAGAGCTCATTCCTATGAGTGGTGACAATCTGCTTGGTATTGTTCAAAGAAGAAAGACTTTTGAGGATGTACATTTGGCCAAAAATCACTGTCTAGGTTAGGGGCTTAGGGAGTGAATAAACATCTTGTTGCATTGAACCAAGTATCCACCTCTGCTTCCCAATGAGAAAGGCTAGGCTAAACAGGTAGTCCCAATTTAAAATTCCTTGCAGGGGGTGCAGGCTTTTCCTGCCCTTCTGGAGGTTCTTGCCACTTTCCAGAAATTCCTGATTAATGTAATTATAGGGTGGGGTTAAGGAAGTTTTCAAGCCAAGTGAGTCATTGTTCCTAGGTGTCATTCTATTGTTTTGACCTCAAATAATTTTCTTCTCTTCTTTCACTCTCTCCTAGCTTTCTCCCTGTGAAATGTCATTCAGATCACTTGTAAAACAACCTTGATTTCAAGACAGGTGTATGCTATCTTTGTCATTTGACACAGGACAAGTGTTAGAGGAAGAAGAGCAAGCAAGTGATAGCAGGGTGCTCTGAGAGATCCTTCCCTATCTCTAAGCTCTAATATATAATATTTACTGCCAGCAGATATTACAGAGTTGTGAATCTCCAGAGTGAGAGTGCAAAGCGGATTCTTAACTGCAAATGCTGAAATATTTCTGAAATATTATCTTTCTGCATAAAATGTTCCCATACAAAGTCTCTGCATGACGGAATTACCCTAATCAGATTCTGTGTAATGAAGAAGGTTAACAAATACATGACTTTACATTCTAAAAAGTTCCCAGCCTTTATGTTTTTTTAAAGCACAGCTACAGCAAAAAGAAAGGAGTCCTTGCTACTGAGCATGAGTCTCACTGCTTGTTCCAAAGGATCTCTGCTGACTGGCCTATGCTATTAGCATTTGAAAGAAACACTGTAATTTTTTCCTTCTTTATTTTACTCATATCATTTACAGAGCTAAACAGTACTTAATTATTTATTACAGTTTTCCAGCTTTTAGCATTTTATATTCCTTTCTCAATTTTCAGCATAATATATGGATTTGGTCTACCTTTCAATCAGTTAAAAGCTATACAAGTATTGATCAACTTTTTGGTTTGCTTGTTTTTCTGTTTTTTTTAGGTTTGGATAAGAGCAATAGCTAAATATAGAACTATAGGCTATTACTTACTCCATCTAAAAAGAAAATGATCATGTATTTTCTGCTAAAGCAGATATTTATTGCTCTCTGCCAAGTGTTAAGCAGAGAGAAGAGACAATCCTGGATTGTAAGCATTATTTCCGTGTGTGAACATTTCTCAGTTCCAGCTGTAGCTTTTTATCTTCAAGGACAAACTGATGTCAATTCAGACAAAGCTCTTGTATGGCAGGAAATGTGATTTGCTTGAAATATAACATGGAAGTACCAAGGTAAACCCTGAGACCTATTTTGTGCAATCTTTGGCTTTGAAGGTGAAAAACCTGCTAAAGCATCTGAAGGTAAAATGGCTGCATTTTCTTTGGGGTTTCCCTTTAAAGGTTAGACTTTAAACTAGTGGATGACTCTGAGGAAGCTAGTTCCAGACACTGTTGTGTTTCTCAAGGTATTTTTAGCACAATATTTTCTCCATACTTCATACTAGATGTTTGAAGCTTCGTTTCTGGTTCAGCTAGTTCAGCTTAAATGAGTGCAAGCTTTTACTTTTGTATCATTCAAATTTCTGCAGTTAACCTACTTGAAAGGCTTGTTTCTGTCTGCAAAGTCCTGATAGCAGCCAGTTTCATCCTTGCAATGTGAATCCTTCCTGATTACAAAGTTTTGACTGCCACTAACATGCTCTATCATTTACTTGGGCTAATGGTTTTATGTTCTTTAAACCAAACTTGGACAATTTTTGTTCTTCCTTACTCTGAGGAAACAGGAGCCTTGGGTGACTGTGTACATAGGTTGTGTAATCAATTTTTCTTACCAATTATAATCTATACATTTTGGATTAACTTCTTTTTCTCTACCATTTCCCTTTTCTGCTCCAGCTCTGAAGGGTCAATATAATTCTAATTGGGCTGAGAGGGATGTGGTTCCTTCACTAGATGCTTCATCAAACTGACCACAAAATCAATTCATACGAGCTCCTTTCAGCCTATTGCTCTGTGATGCTCAAATTGGTTAAAGCTGATATTTATGTTTGCTTTGCTGATGCAAAGCTCTCGGAGGAAATGAAAGCCACTTCTGCTCTTGAATGACACAAAACTAATTCTAGCTCTTTCAGAATGAGGACTCTATCAGAAAATCCAGTAAGAATCCAAACTGTTCCCTCCCATAAGCAATAAAACAAGACTCCTTAAAGGACAATGTAAGTATATTAAAACACTACTTCTGTGCAGAAGGCAAAGCAATACAGAGCTCAGACATACCTGTGAGCCATGCTGTGCCTACTCTCTGGCATAGAATAAGGCTCTGTTCACAGGGCCAGTCAGGCTTCAGGCTAATGCTGGTCGTTTATGGCTCTAGAACTGTTAAATGAGCTGGGAGTTGATGGCATTTTACTGGATCTGCTTTTAACTTCAGTGATATCCTATTCCACTAAGAACGTTGAGCAAGACGTGCTGATATGATCCAGCCTTACTCTTTATCCTCCACTAATGGCCAGTGTCAGAGGTGCTGAGCAGGATGTATCCTTTGGCTGAGGTAGTACATCGTGATAATGTACAAAGCCACAAGTAATGGTTTAGTGACACAATGGGGGAATGTATTTGGGTAAAGTGAGGTCTGTTAAAGCATGGTCATTACCAGAAGTTTAAAAGGTGGGACTTCACACTGAAATAGCTGCATTTAAAGAGGTGGTACCTACCTCAACTGTCTTGCAGGTCTCCTCCAGCTGTGTGACTATTCCTTGCACTCTGTCGTTGCTCCCCACCAGGACTGCAATGCCATCACTCAGCTCAGACTAGGCAGTAAGGGGAGAGCAAGCAGGAGGGTGTTAGATACTGTCCCACTTAATGGTGGCACATGTAACACTGGCGAGCAGGAGACAAATAAGCCATACCAGGGTATCAGCTTGTCTTTCCACCAAAACTGAGGAAAATTGGAGCTTTATGTGCTCACAAGATACCTGCTAGTACTTTGACATTTGTTTCCTCTCCCAACACACTATGAAAAAATTAACATTTTAAAACTTTTAATTGAGAAGAAACTGTGGGTTTTGGAACTTTTATTTCAGAAGAAACTGGAGAGAAGGAAGCACTTTGTTTTAAGAAAATCTTCTAGATACTTTTGCCTGAAGCCTTGTTTCAACAGACCCAAAATATTTCATTGGGTTTGTAGAGAGGAAAGACTTTGTCTCTTAAGGGGTTGTTTTTTTCAGTGTCTGGGTCTAGTCACACCACAATGGTATTTCCATGAGGATTCTAGCACTTGGCGTTGGAGAGGAGAAGAGCTAGTCCATGGACCTGGAGGGACCAGGCTGTTACTGAGTCTTTGGCATGTGAGCAGCGGAGTTAGGGCTGTGGTGAGAGGGGAAGGAGAAAAGGAGGAGAAGAAGGTGGAGGCTGAGCCACTGGTGCAAGGGAAATGAGTGGAGGAAGGAAATGACATGACTGTGGGTATGAAGAAGACTGTGAGGTATCCTTAGGAGAGACAGAGATGCTAGTCCCTAGGGAACTTGGGGAAAGTGCTGGAGAGGACAAAGGGCCCTTGGCACACCACTGTAGTAACAGAGACAACTGTGTACGTGGCCTCCACAGCTTTGTAAAGGATCCTTTGGAGCACACATCCTGCAGCCTCCAGGTTACCCCTCCAGTCTTGGGCATGACAGCCTCTTCTCACAGGCACTCTGGTATCAAAACTACAGCTTGCAAATCTCCATGCAAAAGGAGTGACTGGGGGCATGGATTCAGTCCAAGAAACTTCTCCTCCTTCTCCCACCTATTTTGATTGAAAAGGATGTTTGTAACTACTTTCCTGAAGTGACTTCTCATTTGTAGTTTCTACACACACGCATCTGTGTGACAAAGTTGGAGGCTGGGATTGCAAACTTGGCCTGTCTGATTGCTTGCCCCACTGGGGCCCTCCAGAAAAATGAGCTGTTTATCTCAGGAGGATAACCCAGTGAGTCAGGTTTTAAATTAATACTGTATTAAAAATAAACAAGTCTTTTACTGGTGACAGCAAGGGCAGAAGATGTTAGGTACATCCTGTGCTGCCAACTATTGAATATTCCTGCATTCACTTGCAGGAAGAGGTTTTTCACTTAACTTTTCTTAAAAATGGAATGCTTAAATGTAAAAGTGCCTGATAGATAACTACTTGATTTGAAATGGTCTGTTCTCTTTCCAGTTCATGTGTTGGACATACCACTCACTTGTCTGATCTAAAAGCACTGAAAACAAAGTGTTAGGAACATCAAAAGAGAGATCCTCAGCTTCACATCAAATTGCTCTCTAAAATGTTTAGTCACTATAATAAAAAAAATTGGGACAATGTAATACCTTTCTGTGTGATCTCTCCTAAATTTATTTTTCTGTGTTTCCAAACAGTTCCTGCAGGTTTACAAGAGCCTTTCACTCACATACAGGAGTGGCAAAGGCAGCTCCAAACCCTTTTGTAAATTCGCAGGAAGCCCATGGGAATAATCTCCTGTCGATGGTTGCTGGGAGGACTATGAGATACTCGAAGATATTTACCTTCTGCTGCTGGTAAACATTTGTGAGAGGAGCAACTTGACAGTCTTTGTGGGCACCAAAGACTTTGCACAAGGAGCAGGTGGGCATTTCACAGTTCAAACAATAGATATTAATTCTCTCATCTTCGTGCTCTTCACACATTGGCTGGTCACATTTCCTTTCAGGTCTGCAAAAGAAAACAAGTTTAAAACAAACTTTGTGCTCATGGGTTTCTGATGACAACACTTATGGTATTAGCATGAAATACCGTACATTTGAATAGCAGCATCCAAAGCTGACTTGAATACACAGCACAGACTTAAACCTGCTCTGTGGTACGACTAAATAGACAGTGGTACAGCTTAAGTCCTGACCCAGTAGGATGTGATGACAATATAGTAACATGACTTCATATGGGGATTCCCATATGGATGAGGAATGAGACTCGGAGTGTGACAAAACTCTTGCTCATATTTAAAAATTTAAACAACCTCACTAAGCCTGATTTCAGACTACTCATGTATTTTAATTAGCATGTTATTTAACAACTGTCTGAAATATGAAACATACCTAATTTCTTTCTGGTTCATCAAAATGTTGGGCACTTGGCCTTAATGCAGCAAAGCTCTTATGAAGGGGACTTGTTTGAAGCAAGAGTTGTAGATACTGATGAACCTTTAGGCCCTCAACTCTGTATCTCTGCTGATGAACTTTGTGAGACATTGGTCAGGATTGTCAATACCAGACAGGACTAGGTCCTTAAGCCTTTAATATAGGCCAGCAACCAAAAAAAGGTGTCACAAAAATTGATTTTGTGGCCCATGTTTAGCTTATACAGTGTCAAACGATTTAATAGTAGGATAGTCAATTGTACCCATCACAAAGAGCTTGGCTTACACACGAATGCTAAGCCAGGAACTGTCACCACATTATAGCTCCGTCCTGATCTTCCCTTCCCCAAAACGATTTAGCTGTATACACACAAGTCTACACAAGTCTGCTATTTTGGGAACTAATTTAGTTGCAGGTTCCTTCAAATGAGCCACTTGGCTGATGTTCCCAGTGCAAGTGAGACCTCTGGTTTGGTGCACGTGGGCAGGGTGGTGCTTTTCTGAGCCATGCTTCAGGCTTAACACCCTGAGCACATCTGTGTCAAGCACATGAGTGTATGATGATGTGGCACCAGAAGACAGAGTCAGTAGATTGATAGAGAGAGTGTGTCTGGGTGTTTAAGCTTCCAAAAGCTGACACTTCTACTGTGGCAATGTTAAATATTTCCAGCATAAACCATTATCCCCTTCTGCTACTGTTTAGAAGGGGAACTATGACTTAGATGTAGCAAGTGGAACAATAAATATAACAATGGAACAATGGAACAATAAACATATAAATGTATCTTTCCATCATTAGATAGAAAATATTTTCCTAAACTATAGAATTTAGTGGAATTACATGGGAACATTTTTTAAAGCCATTCTATAGGGCTCTGTAGCACGGAGGCAACCAGTCACTCTATTAAAGCTTAAAAATGTATGGAAAAAGCATTATTTTATAGTATATTACAGTAGAGTTTTTCCATAAAGCTTGGTAAAGTCGATATGGTATTTATTTTTTAATGATAAAGTACAGATTTTTCTCTTCTGAATGGAATGGAATGTGATCAGTTAGATGCATTTTAAAAAAAAGCAAGAAAGAAAACGTCTCACACATTCTTTTTTTTTTTTTTGTAATTCAAGAGGGCCCTGGGATTTAAAGGGATCATAAGGAATATCTGTAATCTGAAATATAACACCATATACCAGAATAAAACAAGTTGAACACTTCTGAAGGACGCCTATATTATTTGGTCTCCTCCATAAAAAATGCTTTACATTGTTTGCAGATGACTGCAAACAGCCCCTAATATATTCACATTATAGTGCACAGTGGGAGTGCCCATGTGTGAGGGCAATATAATGAATTTCAAAGTGATTAATTAAGCCTGAAATAGTGTCTCTCCCTGCAAATATTTACAAGACCAGAGCCAGAAGCTACTAGAATTTTATTGGACACTGGAGTGGTGCCAGTTGCATGAAAGACACATTGCACAGAGCAAAAAGGTGACGGTGTCAGGCAAGTTCGGCCAGGAGCAGACAACCTTCAAAGGTGCCGCAGAGAGCTGGAAGAAACCTGGCAGAACTCCCTGAACTAGTGGGGCCCTGAAGACAGTGTCAGAAGACTAGAAATAAGCAGATTTAGTCTCCTTTAGGCTGTGCAAAAGGAGAGATTTTTAGCACAACATTCTTCAGTGACTTCAGAGGGGATCCTCTAGGTCTATGTTGGTGTAGCAAAGGCCAAAACACAATCTCTAAATTTAAAATGGAGATGGCTTCTGAAAGAGGAGATTAAAGGGTAGCTGATAGGAAAATTACAGCATGGCTTTAGTAAGAGAAAAGCTTCACCACAGCTGTGATTGTGACCAAAGAAATGGCAGGTTGCTGAAATGTCCTGATAGCTTTATGGTCTCATTCTCAGACTCTGCTCTTTGAGATGCAAAGCCTGTGTTTGACTGCTACAGGCTTATTCTTTTGCATTAAAACTTGGTTTGGACATTAATGTGCAGTGTTGTGTGTGTTTTATGGAGAGGAGGATTCTCAGGTAAGTAATGACTGGTAAGGCCACACCTGGAGTACTGGCTGTGTCCAGTTCTGGACTCCCCAGTACATGAGAGATATTGACATACTGGAGAGAGTCCAGCAAAGGGCCCTGAAGATGATTAGGGGTCTACAGCAGCGTTCCTGTGAGGAAAGGCTGAGAGAGCTGAAACTTTCAGCCTGGATAAGAGAAGGTTAAGAGGAATCTTAATAATGACCTTGATCTTACCAACACATTTGAGTGTCTAAATACCTGAACAGAGGGTGTAAGGAGGATGGAGTCAGGCTCTTTCTGATAGTGCCCGGTGCCAGAACCAGAGGAAACGAGCACAAACTAAAACACAGACTGAATCTGTTCCTTCTGAACATCAGGAAACACTTTTTTACTGTGAGAGTGACTGAGCACTGAGACAGATTTCTCAGGGAGGTTGTGGAGTTTCCATCCTTGGAGATACTCATAAGCCATCTGGATATGGTCCTGGGCAACCGGCGCTGGGTGGTCCTGCTTGAGCAGGGGTTGTTTGGACCAGATGACCTCCAGAGAGAGGTCCCTTCCAGTCTCAGTCATTCTGTGACTCTGTGATTTGGTGAGGAAATGCACAATTGCTGAGCACATAAAGAAGCACACTTTAATTAAGAACATAACTGCTGTTTAGTTAGAAGGCGTGCTTTCCTCAGGATTTTTTCAAATCCAAAAAGGTCCCTGCTGTAGTCCTGAATGCAACTTTGATAGTGTTTTTACTGAGGATCCTAAGATAGCTGTAACCCCTCCTGTACCATCACATCACCTAGTGTCTGCAGCTGGTCAGGGGATGAAGAGAATCTGCATGACTGTATGAGACACATTATGTAAAGTCATTAGTTATTAAACTCGGTATCAATCTTGGGCATACAGCACTAATGACTGGTCTCCACCTGACTTCATACTGCTCACCATGACCCTTTGAGTCTGGTAGTACAGGCAGTTTTCAGTCCAGTTCACTTTCCACTGTCCAGTTCACTTTCCACTGTCCAGTCTAGATCTTATTTCAACAGTTTGCCAATAAAGATGTCACAGGAGACAGTGCCTAAAGTCTAGATAAACAACATCCTCTCATGCACGGAGTTAGTCATCTCACCATAAAAGGCTATAAGATTGGTTGGGCTGATTTCTTCTTCATAAATCCATATCGACTATTTCTAATCACCTTCTTGTCTTTTATATATTTGAACAGAGTTTCCAGGAGGATTTGCTTGAAATACTTTCTAGGGACAAGTGTGAAGATGATCAGCCTGTAGTTCCCCAGATTCTAGTACTTGCACTCCTTGAAGATTGGAGGAACATTTGTTTTCTTCCAGTCCTGTCCAACCCCAGAAAACTATCCCAATAATCACAACCTTTCAAAGATTATTGAGAGTGACCTGGCAGTGACATCAGTCAGCTCCCTCACTACTTGTAGATGTACAATTTTTTTTTAATAGCCTCTAACCTGATCCCCCTCCACCAAAGGTAAATCTTCCTTGCTCTAGACTTTCCCACTGGTCTCAGGGTCCTGGGATTCCTGAAGACTGAACTTGTTAGTAAAGTTTGAGGTGAAGGTGGCATTGAGCACCTTGGCATTTCCCATTTCTTTTGTTACATGAGACCCTCCTCCATTTAGCAGTGAACTCACACTTTTCCCATTCTTCCTTCTGCTGCTGATGTACCTCATTAAGCTCTTTTTAGCCTTCATGTCCCTTGTCAGATTCAGTTCCAAATAGGCTTTGGTTTTTTTAACTTCATCTGTACATAATTGGACAGTGTCTCAAAATCTTCCTGAATCACCTGTCCACCTTCTTTATGCTTCTTTTTCAAAGTTCTATTTTTATCAGGAGCTCCCAGCTAATCAATGCAGATACCTCAATTGCTTGAGTTCCTGTATATGGGGATAGACCATTTTTGACCTTGGAGGAGGTGGTCCTTGAAAATCAATCACACCAATGGACTCTCTCAAAAGCAGTGAAAAGCCCACCAATAGCCAGGGTAGAAATGGGACTTGAAAAATGAGAAGACTATAGAAGTTCATGTGGACATAAGGATTCCTATAGCTCTGTTACAGTAGTATCATGAATGCCTGACCCAAGAAAACAATTGGTGCAGCTGAGTTTGGGGCTTTGTGTCCATGGGGAGTAGGAGAAGATCCAGGTCATCTCGCTCCTCATCTCTTTCACTGCACAGCCTGTGGGGCTCCTCCTGCAGCTCCCTTTCTTGGTGACCTGTGGTCAGAGAGCTCATTTCCCTGGCCCAGCCTGTCTGAGATCTCCAGACACCTCTACAGTCTGCCTTGGAGAGCCACATCTTTCCTTGGGAGTTCAGACTAAGACCTCGGAGGGGTCAGGGAGAGCTGCTTCTGGCAGTTCTGTCTGCCCAGCCCCACAGCCCATCCATCACTGCCTTCGCAGAGCCCACACAGGCTGACTCTCAGCACACTGCCTGGTCCCTGCTGCACACTATGGGGCTGAAGGGACAGCCTGTACCTTGGGTTCTCCCTCTTAGGTGCAAGGCAGAGAGAGTGCTTGACCCTTCCTGATCAGGATTCAACTGGTAAAAAAGCCCACAGCAGCTTTTGATGTGGAACAGCCAGCCGAGCTCATTAGAGGCTGCCAGGTTTTACAAAAAGCCACAGCCTCCTGTTGCTACCCTTTTCTGGTACCAGCAGGCATCCTGACGTTCCTCAGATAGTTCAGGTGATCAGTGGCCTACAGACTTTCAAAGATTGGTTTAATTTTTAGCCAACCCAATTTCCATGGCGTTCAGTCCTTTGCCATCCTTTAAAGCTTTCTAAGAGCCACCACCTGCTTGAAGATTTCTTCCCTTGTGTTGCTAATACATTCTAAATTGGGCGACAGGCTATGCTGCCATCAGCTGGAATTTGATGAGCAATGGGATAAAGGACCATATGATGTGATACTCAGTAGATCTGCATGTGATGGCTCAGGCAGACCCTCCCAACCCCATAGCCCAGTGCCTGCCCCAGCTTTTATTTAGAAAAAACCAAATTCCCTAATTCAAATATAAATTCCAATTCCAAACAAACCAACAAAAAACTCCAAACACCAAAAAACTTTTGAAATAAGCTATTTTTGTCTAAGCAGGAGAAAAGGCTTGTTACCCGAATGAATTCCCCTCACTCTCCTAAGTTGATGCAGCTGGTACGTGTAGCTGTAGTGAATTATACCCACAGAAGGACTCAAGGGGAAGGGGTTCTTATCTGAAAATCATGGGTGCTCCCTCCCATGAAGGAGGAAGGGTTGTCTTAGGAATAAACAAGGAGGCAAAGATCACATCTCATCCTTCTTCCTATGTACCTCTGCCAGACCCCAGTCATCAGTATAGAAGAGACAGGTACAAAAGGGGGAAGTGGAGAAGACTTGATTTCCCTGGACTTTTTGGTTTCAGTGGGACAGCACAGGGTAAAGCCATCTTACTCACACCCTCAGGGGAGCCCTAGGAATCTTAGGCAGAGGGAGATAAGCAGCTGAGGCCTGTAGAGGGCCAAATACTTTAGATAATGCTGCTATGCATTGCTGCTGCTACATAATCCTAACAGTAACTTTCATTCTAAGGACATACATGAAGGTTAAATAAGCACCTTAATGGATTAAGTAAATGAACCATTTGGACAAATATATAATAAAATATGTGTTTATATTTTTTTTCTATTCTCCCTTTTTATTCATCACGTGTTTTATTTCTGTGGAATTTTAAACAAATTTACTAAATCTATTCTTACATTTCTGTTTAATTGAATTTTGTCCCAATTGCTCATGAATTACATGGGGAAAAGGAGCTGTATTTCTTTATTTTTTTTTTAAGCTAAATACAACTGTGAGCTGAAAAATAAAGCAAAACCAAGGAAGACATGAGGCCACACATGTCCAGCTTATTTCGTCAAAAGCCAAGTCCATCATCGTAGCTTTGCTGATTAATTTCCTCTGAGATTTTCCTGACTAAAATAATATTTGGGTATCAATGACACACACGGGGGTAGATGACCTTCACTTGGCACTGAGCGCAAAGGGCAGCAGAAAGAACAGTTTTAAGCCAGCTTCGTGCTCTCTAACGCTTTGAAGCTTCAACCCGTGCCCAGCTACAACAGTCCTTGGAGGGATTCAAACAGCTGAGAATAGCCAAAGCCACCGTCAGACTCCAAAACATTCTCTCTGCTGGTGACTGTCCTCCTCTGCCCCCTTTAGGTACTGGAAGGCTGCTCTAAAGTCTTCCCAGAGCCTTCTCTTTTCCAGGTTGTACAACTTCAACTCTCTCAACCTATCTTCAGAGGAGAGGTGCTCTAGCCCTCTGATCGTCTTTGGGTCCCTCATCTGGACTCACTCCAGCAGGTCCATGCCTTTCTTGTGCTGAGGATCACAGTCCTGGATGCACTACTCCAGGTGGGGTCTCATAAGAGCAGAGTAGAGAGACAGAATCATCTCCCTCCTACCTTCCCCCCTACTAAGTTCTCCACAGTGGTATCATGCATCCAACCCATCTGAGGGAAAGAGAGATGAGAAAATATTTTTCTGTTGCTGGATTCATTACACATCAAATGCAGGAAATTACCACTCAGGAGTAACCTTACTTTTTAGGGTTAACCCATTCCTCTGCCCTGAGGTCTTGATCCATGTGCATAGCCATGCAGCTCTGCTACATATTATTTTTGGTTATTCCTTTTCTTTTGTGGACTCCTAAATAAGACTTGATTTCATGAGTTCACATCCTAAGCTGATGGGAATGTGGACTTTTTATTACTGAGTTTTGATTTGACATTATGATGCAGCCGACCTTCTGTGTGAATTTCAGTTTTCTCTTTGTTTGCACTGTCTGTCCCTCAGGATTTTCTAACGAGATTTGAAATTCTTTCCCTTTTTTAGCATGAGAACACACGAGTTAAAGACAAATAAGAATTGTCTGAACTGTTTTTGCAATAAATAATATGAGCTACTTTTCCCTTATTCACATGAGTAGCTGTGCTGACCTCAAGGACTTTGCTTGCACTGGCAAGTGTTGCCTGTGTGAATAAGCCCGATGTTCTGCTGCAAGGGAAGCTCAGGGAAGCTCAGCACCTATTTGGATAAGTTTTCTGTGCTCAGTGAGAGCTGACTTCATTGCACAGCAAACAGACAGGCAGGCATGGCAGCATGATCTTTTTCCACTCTTCCAAGAGAGAAAACAACTAGATCAACCTCATGCATGCCAAATGGAAAGACCAAAGGGTCAGCCCCCTAAGCCATGTCTGCTTTTGTGTCAAACCCCCTCTGAAGGACACATGTTCCCTTGTTACCTTGTGGACTCCTGCTTGTAGATGTCGATGATGTTCTCCACCAGCAGGTTCCTCTGCAGCCCATAGACACCATGTCGGTCCAGGACCACCTCGTGCCTGCAGGAGGGACAGCGGAAACGGCCTCCCGACGCCACAGTTGTACCTCCCCTGGTCGGCAGGTAGGGGTTGGAGGCCTGTTCTTGCCAAGTAGCACAAGGAGAGGAGGGTAAGGCCATGAAAAATCATGAAAATCTCTTCCAAAAGCACCAAATGGTAGGAAACCATTTGTCACTATGCCAAATAAGAGGGTAGCTCCAACACACCACCCCTGGAAAAGCATCTGGTGACTACTGGTGAGAGGCCAGTCCCTCAGCTCACAACTTGGCCATGTCTCCGCAGTGAACAGGTGACACTTTCACCTGCTGTTAGCTCATCCCTGGTCCCCGGGGACATCACCTTTGGCTTTAAATCACTCTCCCCCTCCCGTATCACCAACTGTTAAAATCAGTCAACCAAAACATGTAAAAAACCTGCTTTCCCATTCATTCCAGCCTGTGCTGCTTGGGAAGCAGAGCTCTCTGTGGGAAGAAACCTACCTGGAAGATGTCACTGGCGCATTTCCGACAGAGGTTGTGCTGGCAGGGCAGGATGACTACGGGCTTGGTGAACATCTCCAAGCAGATGGGGCAGATCAGCTGTTTCTCCAGGTTGTCCATAGTTTGTTGCTCTTTGGAGAAGGACTTATAGCTCAGGGAGGTGCTCATCCCTAGCTTTTCCAGGGGCATATGCTCAGGACCACGGCCTTGTGGAGAGGTTTCCAGGTTAATTTCCCTTGAAATAAGTCCAAGGCTGTGCTGAGATCAGAGGCTCTCCGGGTTGCTCTGGCTGGAGGACATTGTTCAAGCGAGGGCTGGAGGGAGTTGGGGCTGTTTTTAGTAGCACTGCGTCACAAGATGCCGTCCTGCCGTGCCCATATATGCGCGTGAGAGAAGGATAGGCTGGGACAGGTGACGGCTGCTGGGGGAAGGGGGGGAGGCCAGAGAGGCCCTGGCTCTCCTCACTCACACATGGCAGCCTTCACCCCTTGAGGAGGAGGGGGAGCGATGAGCAGAGGCCATCCACTCCCTTCCCTTATCTTTGCAGGGCAACGGAGGGTGAAGGGCTGCCCCAGCCACATGCTGAAGCCTAACAAATTCTCTATTTTGAGCAAGCAGCCATGGCCATGAGATGCAGGATGTAATTTTGCCCTTGTGTTTTGGTGGGCTCCAGGATCCTACCTTTCCAGGGTGTGAAGTACATATGGTTACTGGAAAAGACAATAAGAGCAATGGCCGCTCTGGAGCTTGGACACTTCAGGGGGTAAACATGTTACCACCTTGAAAACTAGATAAAAAAAATTGCCTGCCTATAACTGTGCCTGTTTCTTCTGGTAAGGTTTTCATTTTAGGAACTGTAACATAAGAATCTAAAATGACTATTCATGCCATTAACTCCACGGCAGCTTAAATATGCATGGAAAACATTATTTGAATTTCCTGATGAGAAAGAAACAAAAGAAATACAGTGTGAAAAGCTTTAATTTGTGCTGCTAGAGAGTAGGTACTAGTTGCACCTATGTTCTCTCCGCATAGTTTAATTCAAATATATTTTAGTTTTGGGCACTGCTGTGTTTATATCTGTTTATTAGACACTGATATCCCTCTCAGCTTGGCACCTATTCCAGAGTTATTTTTAAAATGACAATTTCCCAGATAATTTGTGACATGTGATGCCTGATCTTAAGGGAAAGCCATCTGTGCTTCTACTTGCCAATAATTTATCACACAACTGTACAAGCAATAAATATCTCATCCTCAAATTTAAGCCAAAGTCCCTGCATTACTGTATAAAATCACTTTGCCACTGTACTGTACATGTAATCAGAATATTGTCTTCTATTTTAATCAATAACTACAATACTTTCTTTGTTAAGTGTCTTGTAGAAACTTCTAAAGTTTATTCCGCCTCATGCCTGTACAGGGCTTACATCTGAAATATGCAGTAGAGCAGCTGAATGAGTCCTCTATGAATCCAGGGGCAGACCCTAATTCCAAAGGAAGGACCTTTGTCTGAATGCAATACCAGTCCGGAAACTATGCACTTCAGGAATATATAAAAGTGAAGGTTTTAATGGATTTCTGCATGAAAATTAATACTGTTCTCTGCATGCAACGATAATGAATCAAATTAAATGTATTATTGATTATTTTATTCTCAATACCTTGCCTGCTTTTAAAGTGTTTGGGTGAACTCCTGTTCTCATTTGCAGCTCCCTGAGCTGGAAATTCCACTTTGTAAACTTGTATGTCTGTCAGCAGTCCCATAAAAACAAATAGATTTCTCTGAAGTCTTGCATTCGTGGGAAATTAGTGATAGCTTAGTTAAACCCATTTGAAATCACACTTTTGCTTTGACTGCCTGGTGCAGACAAGAGCCCGGAGTTGAGTGGGAGAAGCTGCTCTGGCAGCTGAGCCACGGACAGCTGGGGCTTTGGTAGGGCTGGCAGGGAGCCTCCCCTGGCAGTAGCAAGTAGATATTTCTCTTCCTCCCCTCCATGGCTGGGTCAGAGGTGACTTCTGCATCTGGAGGAATTTCAACGCCTCATTCTTGTCCTCCTAACTCTGAGTCAGCTGCCCCTTGCGCATCAAAACCTGCTTCAGTAAGGAGCTTTGAATTAGATGAGGAAAGCAGTCCTCACCTGGCAGGGCAGGCACTTCCACCTCGCTGCACAGGCAGAAGCAGAGAAATTCTGGGAGGAAAAGCTGAAGACTAGAAATGTCAGCACACAGAAACACTGGCATATGGTGATGTAGGGAATGGGGTGTTCACGGCATGGAAAGAAGCAGTGGGATCATGCTGCTGTGTTGGCCCTTTGGACAATGAACCGAAGCACCCCTCAGGGTGTAATGTGCCTCTGGGATGTGATTCTGGTGAATTTATAGTTACTTGTGGTAACCCACAAAAGCCTTCTGTTATCAAGCTGAGCAGGACACTTGATGCAGAGGACATCTGATGGCAAAGAGGTGAGGGACAGTCTGGTCTGCTGCTGGTTTTCCCCTTTCTGCATGTGTGGTGGTTTGGAAAAAATTGTCAAAAAGCTAATTTTAAAAGTTTTTCTATAATTTGTTCTAATGTGTATAGAGAAGTTTTCAGACACTCACAACTCAGTATGGGGGAGGGGAATTATATTACAATTTATTACTTACACAATAAATACTATAATACATATAAATACATATATATAACAATTTTAACTATCTCTTCTATGGTGAAACAATATATAGACATAGACTGTCTCTCCTTTCCTTAAAAAAAAGTCCAGAAAGAAAGAAGAAGAAGTCTTCTTTTCACTTTCAGGCAACAGCTCTTCCAAATTAATTTCTGCAGCACTTAGAAGTGTCTCTTATCTTTAAGGCAGCAGTTTTGATTTGTCGTAGCTGGAATTCTTCTTTCTTCTAAGGGGTTTGGGGAGTCTGCCCCCACTTCTCGCTCCTTGGCCACCTCGTCCGAGGGTATTACCGTGCGTTTTGGAGGAACACCCGTGTCACCACGTCTGCAGCACAAAGTGCAAGGGGTTAAAGTTTAGTCTTTATCCCCTGCTCTTGCTCCATAAAGGTTCCGGTCCCCAGGCTGAGCTCTTGGGAGACTTCTTGGGGGATTTCCACCCCTCCTCCCTGGGGTCAAAGAGTTCTAAGGGCTTTTAGTTTAGTCCTTACCCTAGAACTGATTCCAACCGACTCTCTCTCTCTCTCTCTTTCCATCTGATGACCCTGCATCTCTTGGTCTGGTCCATGCCATATTTGCTTTTGTCTCTGCTTTCCTCTCCTCCCCCCACTGCGAGGGGGGAAAAGAAGATGCAACCCAGGGGGTCTTCCCGATTTTTTGGGGTCCCCCTCGGTCACCAGCTTCGGGGGGGGTGTTTCACTCAGTCGCTGTGCTGCTCCTGGCCCCCCCGGCCAGCAGCCAGGGGCAAACACCCCCCGGGCCCACGCCACATGTGGCGTTTCAACTCATGGCTGCCTCTCCTTCAGCTACGCAGTTAAAATTAACCTCTTCTCTTCTGATTCTGTATGTAATTTCCGCACAAAATTTTTAATTGATCCAGTATCAAAACCACCACCTCTGGGGCAGACTATCACCAGCCCCAGGGGAAAAGGTTTTTTTCAAACCACCACAGTGTGCCAAAGCATGCTAACATGGAACAGGTAATGAACAGCATAACCAAAAAAAGGAGTCAACAAAACAAAGAGAAACCCACCTTCTGCAACGAGGCCTGAGATGAAATATTTTATGGCAGGAATATGGAGTTCAGACACATGAACAGTTAGAATAGGTTTTTCTGTCAACGTATTATGAGCCGCAGCAGTGAATGCTAGGTAAAGAAATGTGGAGGCTTGACCACACTTGCAAAGGCTGGACGAGAAGTGCCAAGAAAGCCACACACTGTCTGACCACTCTGCAACAAGGAGGAAGAGAAGAGCAAAGTCCAAGAGCCTGTGGAGACATGGAAAGGCCCTGCAGCTGGTTTTCAGCAGGGATTACTTAGGGTGGACTTTGAAGGACTTGCACCGAGAAAGAGCTTGGCACCCTCCTGTCTCTCCCTGGCAGCCCTGTCCCCCTCCCCTTCCACACCCACAAGGGAAGACCACCAGCAGTCCACCTCCAAAGAGTTGCCAAGCCAAGCCATGCACAAGAGGACCTGCTCTAACCCCGCTCCTGGACAGAAACTCTGGATTTCTGCTATCCATAACCAAGAAGAAAATCATCTCTTTTTTTTTCCTTGCAGTATTGCTTGCCCAGGAGTGTTACCTGGTTTTGTTGACACCACCAGAGCACTAACTCCTATGCTTGCTTTTACAGATATTGCTTCTAACTCCTGTTTTGCTCCAAATAATAGCTTGAAGCCTGTAGACTGCTGGCTTGGAGAACCTGGAAGACTGACTGCAAAGCACTGGCTTTAGGAGTGGGATTTGGAGGAGAGAGGAGAGCTCAAATGATGTCCAGGTTCAGGTTTCAATGCCATAATGATATCTCTGGGTTTTGCGTTCACAGAATTCACCTCTGTAACCTCTTATCTTGTACCAGAGCTGTTAAGCTCTCGTGTCTCATTCAGAAAATCATCCCTGTGGCTCTCTTGCATGACTGGAAAACAAAGAGAAAAAGTGTATTTTTGCCAGAGGATACTGGCAAAAAAATACTCCCACGTGACTTGCTTCCCCTGAGAGCCTGCTAGAGACAAAGCCACTCTGCAAGCAGCAGGCTCCTTGCCCCGGCATCCTATCCTGGACACAGTGGGTGCTGAGAAGCATCCCGGTCCATGGGGTGATGGTGCCCTGCCTTGCTGCCACCTCACCTCCCACCTGTCCTGGGGGATGAGTGAACACCCTGCCATCCCTACCACCCAGCCTGAGGGTGGGGAATTCTACACTGGCAGCTGCCTAAAGCAGACAGCAACTGCCCATCATCCCCCTGCAGAGAGCGATACCTGCCCCCACCCTGCTGCCTCCAGCAGCTTCCTGTGCTCCTGAGCCTGGTGGGGTTCACATGCAGGCTTTCAACAACAGCTCAGCTGCTGGAAGAGGACAGGTCTAGTGGGTGCCCTTGTGGGGCCAGAGGGAAGCAGCTACTGCCGCTGCAAGGGTGGACCACCAGACCCATCTGTCCATATCCCCCTGCTTTGCCCTGCCTTGTTCACCTCCAGTGAGAAGTCCTGGCTGCCCAATCAATACAACATCTTAACAGGTTGCTGCCTCCAGTTCTGTCCACCGGAATGCAAAACTGAGCAGAATGAAAATGCAAGTTTCCCCTCTTCCCATACTGCTAACTCTGCTTGTTG